TAACAATTTTTAGCTTTTCTTGACCAAATTAAACTTAGCATCGAAGTAGGTTGTCTAGATGTGCAATTAGGTGAACAACCTATATGATGCAACAACAACAAGTACACAAGCAAGCAATGAATACAACATAATATAAGCTTGCACAAGTAAAGGTAAGAGATAACCAAGAGTAGATCCGGTGGAGACGAGGATGTGTTACCGAAGTTCCTTCCCTTGAGAGGAAGTATGTCTCTGTTGGAGTGGTGTGGAGGCACAATGCTCCCCCAAAAGCCACTAGGACCACCGTATTCTCCTCACGCCCTCACACAATGCGAGATGTCGTGATTCCACTATTGGTGCCCTTGAAGGCGGCGACCGAACCTTTACAAACAAGGTTGGGGCTCTCTCGACAACCGAATTGGAGGTTCCCAACGAAACCACGGAGCTTCACCACAATGGAATATGGCTCCGAGGTGACCTCAACCGTCTAGTGTGCTCAAACACCCTAGAGTAACAAGATCCGCAAGGGATTAGTGGGGGGGGGGGAATCAAATTTCTCTTGGTTGAAGTGTAGATCGGGGCCTTTTCAACCAATCCCTAAAAAAGCAACAAATTTGGTTGGCTAGGGAGAAAAATCGGGCAAAAATGAGCTTTTGAATGGTAATGGAGTTTTGAGGGGAAGAGGTCAATTCTAGGAAGAAGAAGACCCCTCCTTTATATAGGGGAGCAAGAATCCAACCATTTTCTACCCAGGCCCGCAGCTAAGCGGTACTACTGCTCCTAGGAGCGGTACTACCGCTTAGGCGGTACTACTCCACACAAGTCTAAAAATACACAGAGTGCATCAACGGTAGTGCCGTAGGAGCGGTACTACTGCTGACCCAGGCGGTACTACCACCTGGGGTTTTAGACCTGAGAAGGCAGCCGTGGTAGAGGGTGCCGGGGGCGGTAGTACCGTGCGAAGCGGTACTACCGTTCTAGTGCCGCTCTACAACCGCTTGGGGCAAAGTGGGTACCGAACCTTGCACAGAGGAAAACCCCGCAAGCGGTAGTGGAGACGGTAGTACAGGCGGTACTACCGCGCTACTACTACCGTTAAAAACAAACCGATAACAGAATGTTGCACGCTCGGGGAAACCCTAAGCCGTAGTGCCACGGAAGTACCCAGCGGTACTACCGTGGGCATTAGCGGTACTACCGCTGGCAAGATGCAGATAACACCACAGAAAATATTGGAAAAGCTCCAGAGAAGGGAAAGGAGGTTGTGGGTGCATATGGGGTTGTGTACGTGTTGATTCACCCATACCTTTCTAAAACGGACCCCCTCTTAATAGTACGGCTTCCCTATGACTCAAATCCACGGAAAAGAAACGTAGAGAACTATCATCTTCGATAGGCTTCGAGGGGCATCGAATCATCAAGTGCCTAGACATGAGATATCTGAAATGCTCAATGCATACACGATTAGTCCACAAAAGCATTGTCATCAATCACCAAAACCACTTAGGGAGACATATGCCCTTACAATCTCCCCCTTTTTGGTGGATTTATGACAATACGGGATTTGCACATAGAGATATATAATAAGCATAAGCAAACCCAAAATCTATAAAATATAGACAGGACCCCCCTAGATGTGTGCATTTTATAGATGTGCTTTGGACTGCACAACACACCCACTAGGATCAACCCGCCCCCCTATATTTTATAGACAAGGCAATTCTAGCAACAAAAAAAGGGACACTAAGCATGAGAAATAATAAGACAAGCATAATCTCACACAAAGGGACACAATAAGGATAACCAGGGTAGCATAGCATATGTCTTACACCATATGATAGAGTCTCACACAAAACCAAAGCGAACGAAGGAAAAGAGTTCACAAGCAAAAACACACAGAAGCAACAAGAACCAATCTTGTGACTCAACAACACCATACAGAAAGACAAATCCCCGGTCCTAAACCTCTCCCCTTTGGCATCAAGACACCAAAAGAGGCAAAGAGTGACCTAACGCAACTCCAGATGGCACTAGTTTCCTCCCATGGGCTTGCTAGACTCCTCATAAGCAGACCCATCAGCAGACTCCTCCTCAGACTCGTCGGTCTCCTCCTCGATCTCTTGATCCTGAGATGGAGCAGATGTAGCAGCATTGGACTCATCCGAGTCCGTCCAGTGAGAGTGCAAAGAAATCCACTTGTCCTTCGGAGTGATACGGTCCTTAGAGCCATCCTGAACTAGGATCTCAAGCTTCCTCATGATAGTATTCCTCTCCCGACGAGCCTTCTTGGCATCCACATGTGCCAAGTACATCTTGTGCTGAACATCGGTCTGAAGGCAAAAGAGCTTCTTCACTTTGTGCTTGAGCTTAGCCCCCCAACCTGACTGACCAGAGGAATGCACTGTGCGGGGAGCAAGACCATCATCATCGCCCTGATCCTCTCCAGAAGCAGACGACACTGGCGCTTCAGGACAAGTAGTAGAGGCCCAAGGCTCCTTCTGACGCAAGTTGAGTATGTCATGAGGAGTCAAGGGTCCGGTCTCAAGAGGCACACCAGGGAAAGTGGAGCTCTAGGTAGACTGAATCAACTTAAAGATGAATGGAGCATAAATTAGGCAATGGTCTCCATAGGTAGCATTCACTAGCTCGTTCCACATGACATGAGAGACATCCAAAACCACATTTCTGCCCTTCTTAGAGTGGCACAACAGGAGCATATCCACAAGGTACCCATGCACCATGTCCAAGTTGCCAATGCGAGGAAAGAGAGTGTGCCGGAAGATGCGGTCCATAATGTCAAAGAATGGCTTCAACTCCTTCATGACTCCTTTCGCTGTCCTAGTGATAATCATATGAGGCAACAGCTCATCCTTGTGAGTAAGCCCCCCTCATGGCGAGCACGAAGGCCAAGAGGCTTCCTCAGCCCCTCGTCAGGATATCCTAGAAGCGACATAAAGGCACTCCAAGTGGCGCGCAACTGCCTGCCCTTGGTCATCCAGATCAAAGTGTGCTCTGGGTTTGTGCCATACCATATGGTGGCAAAAACCTAAGCAACCAACTCTGCATCGAAATCATAGTTGAAGGTCATGAGGGTCACGATGTTGAGCTGATCATAGAGGGCACGAGCTTCTCCAAAGTATGCCTAGTACTTCTCCATGTGATCCAAGTTGGTTGACTTGGTCTTCACAAACATGTTCTTCCTTCCCTTGATCCGATCAACTAGATATTGGTCCTTGTCCCAGAATGGTGATCCAACAAGAGAAGGATCCTGAGAAAGGATGTAGGGTTTTGCTCATGGTATTGCGAATACTCATTTTGCTTCAATTCGGCAGCCATCTTGACTGGTTCCTTCTTCTTCTTGCAAGCAGCGGTTGACATGACATTTGATTTGCCCTTGTTCCTGGCAGCCTGACAACGAGCAAGCAACCGTGTGGGGGCAACCTCTTCTTCATCTTAGGAATACACAACTCTAGCATGATAGGTGCACCCACGCTTGGATGGGGGATTCACATTCTTGCGACGAACCTTGGAGCTACTACCACCTAGAGAGGCACAAAACCGCAAGGGAAAGCATGAATACAAACGATGCATAAGCCAGGGAGAAACAAAAGTGAGAACGGAAGGCTCAGGGAGCATTCTGAAATTTGCGGACTAGAGCGGTAGTACCGCGGAACTAGGACAACTAGGACGGTAGTACCACCAGAGTGGTAGTACCGCTGCACAGGAGCGGTAGTACCGCTCTAGGAACAGACGCATGGAACCCCCAGATCCGGTAGTACCAGAGGTCACAAATTCAAAAATGCTCCTCTAAATCTTTAATCCTTCTATCTAGCAGTCATTCAACGTCCTACTCAAGCCCCGATTTAGCCAAAAATCGAGAAACCACCATGCATTGCCCTAGAAACCTATATTCAAAGGAGAGAACTAT